TGGCGCCTTGCTGCAGTGAAGCCCTGCGGCGTTTGTCCTGAGGGTGGATGCAGACAGCCTTAGGACAGGCCTGCTGCCTGGTCTGCTCTTTCCTGCCCCTTTCCCAGTCAGCCTTGTGCTGACTTGAGTCGTTTCAGCCCCCAGTTTCAACCAAGTAGAGTCTGGAGTGCTTGGTGTGTTGAGTATACACAGGATGCAGGAAAGCCACCGCAGGCTTGGGCTGGGTTCCCCCCCCCAGATGAGCATCCCCTGCTTCTGAGAGCAGAGAGGCCTTGAGGTGGTGACAGGCCTCCTTGGTCTGTCTTCCATGGGCACTGATGAGAGGTGGAGGAAGGGAGAAGGCAGCAGGAAGTGCTCTGCCCTGGGAGAGGCCTCAGGCCAGGCCACAAACCAGAGCCCCTTTCTGGTCTGTGGCAGGGGAAGGAAAGCTGTCTAAGTCAAGGCAAGATAAATCCCCAGAGAGGAACTAAGTAAAAGGGTCTCCTCGGCCTGTATATGGTCCATCAAGATAATCTTGAGCCCAAGGAATAAGCCCTTGTGTAGATGACTCTCATATGGGTCAGTGAATGGTTTCAGACCTGGAATAGGATCTGGCCTAAGTTCTCCATAGCTTTGCTGTGTGGCCTCGGGCAAGTTCCATACCCTCTCTGGGCTCCCAGTTTCTTGGTAAATGCACATGTGGACTAAATGAGAAGGAAGTGTTGGGGTGTTGTCAGCCTGCCGGCCTTTGGGAAGAGCTGGGAAAATTGAATGTAGATACAGGCATGGAAACAGTGGGTGGCAAAGGACCTCAGACAGCTGGAGGAGGAGTCAGATTGCAGGGTTGAGTACAGAGGGGCAGCTCACACTCTGGAAAGGGGCTGTGGGCAGTCCCAACCTAGGGTGGGCCAGGCAGCTGGCAGACAGCTGGCCTGCAAGCAGAACAGCTGGGGAGGTTTATGCACTCCCACCCATACCTTCCTGTGGTCTCGATAGGGTTTGGGGACCGTAGGCCACTCTCAGGCTTTAAAATCGTCCTCAGCGAGGCAAGAGGGATTCCAAAAGAAAAGCTGGTGGCAGATATGTGGGTGGGATGGTGGGGCAGCGTGTCAGCTTTGGACTGGGGAATCACCACTCCCCCCTGCCAGCCAGGTGGATTATGGGAAAGAAAGCACGGCGTTGTGATGGGTGGTGTGACGCTTATAATCCAAGCACTAGAGAGGTAAAGGCAGGAGAGTCAGGAGTTCAAAGGTGTCCTTGACTATAAAGGCCAGCCTGAGGTCCATAAGATGCTGCCTCAAGCAAGCAGCAAGGCTGGGAAGGGTCCCCGAGCATGGGCAGAACTGGCTGTCTATCATTTTGTTCCAGTTTGCTTTCTATTGCTATGACAAAACACTGGCAAAGGCAACTTGGGAAGAAGGGGTTTATTTCATCTTACACTTCCAGGTGACAGTCCATCACTGAGAAGTCAGGGCAGGAGCTGAAGCAGAGACCATGGAGGAAAGTAGCCTACTGGTTTGCTCTGCATGGCTTCCTCAGCTTGCTGGCTTATACAACCCAGGACCACCTACCTGTGCAGGGGTGGCACCACCCCCATCAGTCATTAATCGAGAAATGCCCCACATACCTGCCTGCAGGCCAGTCTGATGAAGGCAGTTCCTCAGTTGAAGCTCCCTCTTCCAAAGCAACTCTAGTTTGTGTCAAGCTGACAGACTGACAACACCCCTCAAACCCTCTAATTAGTCCCTGCCTAAACTTAGGCCCTACGTTTTCTAAGGGTGTTGTCAAGACAGCATGTAGACTCATGGGCACCCCCCCCCCTCGTCTCTGTGACCTTGAGTCTCTCCCCTGGACCTAGGGCTACAAGCTCCAAGCCTCTGCCCCCTTAGGAGTCTGGATTGTTCCCTTCATGGATAGCTGCTGGGCCAGAGAATCCCTTTCTCCCATTCCCAAGGGGTCAGCAAGCATCAGAAGCCCCGAAATGGCAACCAGGAGGCAGTGGCCAAGGCCCAGGAGAACTTCGGCCACAGATAGACACTGAGATGTCTTCAGGCAGGGTGTCCTCCCTGAAAGAGGAAAGAGCCGTGTGGACTGGCCCGTGGGAGGTAGACTCGAGTCTCCAAGGTTGAATCTGGGAGCAGTTGTGCCCTGATCCTAGCCTGAAGCTGGGCAGGCCACAACACCTTCTGGTTTCAGCCATTGGTTTTTCTAACCCAGCCAACCTCACTGGGGAAGCTGCCATTGTGGGATCTCCGTTGTGCCTCGCTAATCTAGACAGCAGCCAGGTGTACCAGGCCCTGGCCTGCCTGCTCTCTGAGAGCCAGGGCTGTGTGTAGTTGCCCATCTCATACCTGAGCTGGGGCTAGACACCAGGCAAGTGTCTTTCATGTAATATCAGGAGGGAACCTTATACCCAGGACATGACATGGCTCCTGTGGCAACCTCCTTTATAGACTAAGAAATGGAGTCAGATGCCCAAAGTCACATGTCTAGGCCAGGCCTGCCTAGCTCCTTTCCTTGGCTGCTGTTAGCACCAGCCATGCTGGGGCCTCTTCACTAACTCCAAAGTCCCAGGAAGTCTGCTTAAGTGAGTGGCCCACAGTCTTCATGAAACCCTTTGCCAGGGCTCCCAAGCCTGTGAGGGAGGGGGCACAGGGGGTGCATACAGCTATGCTGGAGAGACACTTAGCAACGGGACAGGAACCTGTGAGACAACAAGGTTGGTACGTCAGACAGTTGGGAGGGCCGTGTGTACTGCAGACACTCAGTGCACAGCCTATGCTGCTATGCAGAACCGCAAAGGAGAATGGTAGCAGCAGGAGTGTGGGTCCAGGGGTGACATAAGCTCTTCTTTGCTGGGGACAGTAGTGATCACGGGCCCTGGAACCCAATGCCCTGCCAAGTTGCAGGTTCAGCAGAGACTTCAGTGATCCCTGCTGTCTACATCACCAGCCATGCCACGGAGAAAGGGCTGGGCTGCTGCCTCCCCCTTCTCCACAGACCCTGTTCCAGGCCCCAGCTGGCTTCCTGGCTGGCTGCTAGCCCTGGCTCTCACCCCAAAGGGAGCCACTGGTAAACAGGAAATGCTTCCCCGTGCAGTGCCTGCTCTGGGCGCCATCAGCAACCCACAGGCTGAGAGACATCCAAGCACTGTGTTGCTGTTCCCAGCAGCTGCAGGAAGGGGGTAGACCTGGGACCCCAAACACTGTGGGTCTGACTACAGGAAGGGGGTAGACATGGGACCCCAAACACTGTGGATCTGGCTGCTGGAAAGGGTTTCTGGGCAGGATCATGCACATGCACAGACACTGATTCTAACTTCTGCCTGTCTTCCCAGAGACAGTCTGAAAGCTGCCCCCAAGTCCCAAAAAGGTGACTCCCCCAGCATCGACTACACAGAGCTACTGCAGCACTTCGAGAAAGTCCAGAAACAGCACCTGGAAGTAAGACACCAGCGCAGCGGGCGTGGAGATCACCTGGACCGCAGAGTTGTCCTCTGATGTGCCTGTCATGGAAAGGGCCCAGGTGGCCCATGAAGCACTCAGGGTCTCTAGCCTGAGGTCACAAGATGCCTGAGAACCTGTCTCAGGCAGGGCTGGACCTGACCACCAGCCCAGGATAGGGAGGGACCATCTGCTCTGTCAACTCCAGCTCCTGCCAGTGGAGTGCCTGGACCTGAGCACTGTCAGCTACACCTGGCTTGGGACCAAGGGCTTCCCTCCTGAGTCAGGCCATAGCCTCGGAATCCAGAAGCAGCCTCTTTCTAGTCACCCTGTGAGAAGAACTTGACCTTGGCCCCCAAAGCACTGGCATGGTGTATACGTATGTAAGTGTGTGTGTGTGTGTGTGTGTGTGTGTGTGTGTGTGTGTGTATGTGTGTGTGTGTGTACATCTGCGTGGATAATGCATACAGGTCACCAGAATGACGTCCATCCCTGCCCCAATAAAGAAATGACAGAACCCTTAGCCAAGCCTGCCTGCTCCTTCTCTGCTGACACTTGTGCCTGACGCTCTGGCTGCCCTAGGGCCTTGTCTGTCCTGCAAAGCTGGCTTCATGCTAGGCCCTGCTCATTCACCTGAAGGGGATGTGGTTCAGGGCTCAGCCATTCCCAGGACCAGCACCTTCCTCTTGACTTTACTCCCATTCCTTAATCCTGGTTTCTGACTCCCTGCGATGTGGATGGCCCCACAAGCAGGGCACTACAGATCACGGGGTGGTGGGAGGAAAGTAGTCAGAGGTGGATGCCCCAACTTTTGATTTAAGTTCAAAGAACCTCTGTACTTGTCACCAGACTCTGGCCTCTCTTGGCTTGGCCTTCTGATGAACCCCTAGTTGCCTACTGTGTCCCTTTAGTCGCCAGGAGTTTGTACCTTTTTTTTTCCCCTAGAGCCTTAACTAGGTGTTCCTCATGAGAGCAGGTTCACCTGGAGTCTCCAGGGCGACAGCAGTATTTGCCCTCGACCACGTGCACATGCGCGCATCCCCACACACTACACTGCAGGTCCGACACAGACCCCTACTCACGAGGAAGCTGGGCCAGGACACCATCACTAGTTCCACCCCAAATCCAGGTGGCATCAGCACCAGTAAGAAAAACGGAAGGACATGTGTACACGAGGGTTGGACTTAATGGATAGTCTGTTGTGGACAGCTCCCGTACAGCCTGCTCCCTGTTAACCATCCGTATGGCGGGATGCGCTAAGGACCGCATCCGCAGTGGGGCTCATCTTTAGCCAGCCCGTAGCCTTGAAGGTGCAAGTGGGGGGCCGCTCCCGCCGGGGGCTGGTCGGGCCCCGCCCCTGCGCCGCCCCGACCTGCGGTGGCGCCCGCGCCCGCCGGCCCCTCTCGCCCGACCAGTCTGGCAGCGCCAGGGCTCGGATTTCAAAGCCCTGGTTTCTGGCCGTGAATGGGCCCGCGCCCGCCCGGCCTTTCCCACAGCCCCCTCCCGCGCTCCCTCCCCGCGGCCCTCCCTCCGCCGCGCCCACGTGACGCCCAAGCCTCGGCGGCTCGGATTACCGCCGCCGCCGCTCCAGTGCCCGCGCCGAGGCTGCGCCGCGAACTGCCCGCGCCGCGCCCCCAGCCCCACCGAGCCATGGCCCGCGCCACTCGTCCACGACCCATAACCCCGGAGCGCGGGGCAGCCGGCCGCTGAGAGCGCGGTCTCGAGACCCGCGGCGCGGCCCCGGAGCGGCGGCCCGGCCCCTCCCCTGCGCGGCTCCCCGCGCCCCTTGCGCGCCCTGCTGCCGCGCGCCCGGCCCCAGCATGGAGACGGCAGAGAAGGAGTGCGGCGCCCTGGGCGGGCTCTTCCAGGCCATCGTCAACGACATGAAGGTACCCCCGGGCGAGCTCGGGGAGCGGGTCCCCTCCGAGGGACGCGTGGCGGGCAGCCGTGTCCTGCTGTGGCCGTACGGCACGATGTTCGTGTGTCTGTGTGTCTGTGTGTCGGTGTGTCCGTGAGCCGGTGCCCTTGTCTGAGCCTGCCCTGCTGCGCCCGCCTGGTTCCAGGGTCTCTGGGTGCCTGTCTGAGCCGGGTTGGGAGGGGTGAGTGCTTGCAGGTTGGGCTGTCCGTGAGGTCGCCCCTTACAATCCCAATCCAAGGCTGAGCACCAGCGAGCTCTCCGTGCCTCAGACCCCTAAACTATGAATTGGATTTGCCTCCAGGACCGACCCCTAAGTCCCTTTAACGGATCCAAGGTCTCTTGGGCCTCCGCCCCCTTCCACCACAATCCCCCCCCCCCCCATATACACACACACACACATACCCCGACGCCCAGACAATGCTGTCACCGCCAAGGCAGGAAAAAATAATAAAGCAAAGAACCGTTAACTCTTTCCCCGCCAGCCTGTATCTGCGTGGACGCAGCCCCACCCCCCACCACCACCACCAACAGCAACCCCAGCAAGCTCCAGTACCCCAGTTCTCGGGCGGGTGGGGTCATCCCTGCAATCCAATGATAGGACGGACTGAATCCACCTTTGGAGGAGGTAGGCAGAAGCTCTGTGTTGGTGAAGCAACCCCGGGCAGGGGGACCGCTTTCAGCAGCCCCCATTTCCTGATCACTCAAGGTCAGACTGAACTGGCACTCCTTTTAGATGGGGAAACTGAGGCCTAGGAATGGCTCAAGGTCATTAAGGAGACCATTAGATCCTGCTTCTGACCTCAGCCCTGATTTACCGAATTCTCCTTCACTCCAAAAGAGACCAGTGTTTGACAGGACAGCTCCAATAGGCAGGGAGAGCTTCAGTGGCAGGGTGGGAGTCAAGAACAGTGTTCCTGCCCTCCACCATGCCCCTCCCCTAGTCTGGGAGCAGGATGGCAGACAGGGAAGGAACTAGGCCCTGCACCAAAACACCTGAGCCTCCCTCTTCCCCACCCTAGGCTCACACGAACTAACCAAGAACCACCCAGATTCCTACTAGACCCTGGGGTCTGCGGAACCCACATACAACTGCACCCCACCGAGGGTTCCAGGCAAGTGCTTGAGGAAGGTGATGCCAAGGGAGCACCCCAGTGAGGAGCGGCATCTCCCAGATCCTTACCCTAGAAAGAGGCCTGAAACCACGCTGGCCTGGGGTTTGCCAGGTGACAGCATGCCAGCGCCTTCCCATAGGTCTGTACTTTCCCCTGGGACCCCATCCCTGGCAACTCACCCTGAGGGCCCCTTCGCTGGCCCTCGGCATTCTGTGCCCATTCTAGCATTATAAGCTCGGTACCAGCATCCCTTTCTGAAACTGGGTAACCCAGACCACCTCCCCTGGCCACTGCTGGGCTGGCAGAGGGTGGAAGCTGCCAGCACTGCCTCCCACTGGCAGCCACTCCGCAAACACTGCAGCAAGCAGCCGCTTCTGCCCAGAGAAGCAGCAGGATTGTGTCCTCCATTTCCGCCAGTTGCAAGGAACTCCCATGAGATACGGGTCCAGGCTCAGCAAGGAGCTCAGGCTAAGTGGCAGGCAAGATTGCTGGATAGGTGAGGGCAGGCTGGAAGAGCCCTTATTGTCACATCACATGCGATATGCCGTATCAATGGCAGGTGTGTCATCAGGGACCCTGGCACGATAGACGGGCTGGCCACCCCGAGGCTGGTCGACTGGACTCCAGAAAACTGCTTCAGGCTGTCTCACTCAGGGGCCACCAGCAAGAAGTTAAGGACACTCAGATTGCCCCATGGGGCTGATCCCCAGGGAGCTCCCCACAATACTCCCTCTGGAGCTACTAGAAAGGCCAACTCTGGGCTGAGGGACGGTCTGGGAGGAGGGGTCCCCAATCATGTCTACATGGACAGAGGAAGGCACAACCCCAGAGTCTGGGAGGGCCCTGGAGAGCTAGTCCACTCTGCCTTCTCTCTCTGTCTCAAGCCAGTGAGCCCAGAGTCTTGAACTTGCCTAGGGCCAGAGGCCTTGTCAATAGGGATGATGCGGCCCCCTCCCTCACTGGGCTATCCAGAAAATGGGCTCATCATTGTCCAGAGTGGAGAGTGCCACAGACACAGGCCCTGGCTGTGGGGAAGGGCTCCTCACGGAGAGGTGGCACACTCGTGCCCTCCTAAACGGTTTCAGTTCGCCCTCAGTAAGTGCCCCCAGGAGCCCACACGCAAGCCCTGTGAGGGAGCTGTGTCCCTTCTCTTGATTTTACAGCTGAAGAAACCTGGGGCTATGGGTACAATGCCAGGGTCACCCCCACCCAAAGCCACACACTCCGTCTCAGCCATAGCCACGTTTGTCTCACCCTAACCCCCCTCCCCCTCTCCAGGGCAGTCCCCAAGCTTGTGGCAGGCCTGGTGTCGTCCCCATTCTCTCAGTCCCCATCATCCCCCCCCCCAAACCCAGGGTCTCTCTATCTTGATATGTCTGATATAAGATCAGACCTTGACCCCCGGTCCCTGTGACCTCAGAGAAATCAGTGAGCTTCCCTGAGCCTCTAGTTCCTCATCAGGAAAATGGGCTTCATTCCGGACAGGGTGTTGTAAGGATTGACCCAGAACACCTGACCAGGTGGTGCAGCTACGTGGCTTGTGATGACATGCAGGGGCTTAGAACCTGAGCCTGGTGAAGCTGACCCTCTCCCTGGGGCATGTGTCATTCATGCTTTTCTCTCTCTTTTGCCTTCGAGGGGGACGTGGGGGGAAGAAGCCCATGCCCTTAAAGACTGGGGTGTCTGAATCCATCTTCTGAGAGGAAACAGGGCTTGCCTTCCCAACACAATGGTTTGTCCCCCACCACTGGGACTGCCCAGGGGTTGCTGAGGGAACCAAGCTTTCCTGGGGACCAGGAGAATGGACATTGGACGCCCTGCACCCCAGCATTTTCTCTGCACTCTGGAGGGAGGTCTTAGCAGGCTTCCCTGCCAAGTGGCATTTAGGACGTATGAGAGTACCCCCTCTTGAAAGACCCCAAGAGGCCAATGCCTGTATTAGCTCCTGGGAACTGCAGGGACCTCCAGGCCTTTTTACCCTGTGCTGTGTGGATGGGGACAGCCCACCCACAGCCTTCTCCTTGCAGCCTGGTGCACTTCTCAAATATTTGCTCTCCCTGCCACTGGCCTGACTGGGCAGGGAGAGGGCGCTTTTTGAGGGTCTGTGAAGCGGCCCGCCTTCTTGCTGTCCTTGGAGAAGCTGGCTGGACCTACCTCGGGGTTCCAGCCAAGCCCAGCCCTCCCTGAGTCCTTGGGACCTGAGACTCTACTATCTCTTTGACCTTAAGAGAAGCCTCAGCCCCAGTCAGTCTGTGTGGGACAGGGACTGGGCCTTTGGTAGCTCTGGGCTACCTTTCAAAGAGCAAAATCTCCCTCAGCCCCTCCCACCCCCCCCCTCACCCCCGGCCAAAGCTGAACTTTCTCCAGGCCTGGCGGTCATGAAGAGAGCATTAGCCAGAAAAGCCCCTTAATCAGACTGGACAACTCAGTCACCAGGAGCCCGAACTCACTAGTGGGAAACCCCCTCCCAACGTAGAGCCTCTGGCCAGGCTAGGATAAAGGCCACACTGTTCCCCTGGAGGGGAGAGGAGGGGCTGGAGAAAGGTGTCTCTGTTGGCCGCACAAGGCCCCATTCAGCCTGGGGCCTACTTGTCCCAGGCTGGCTGACCAGGCTGTGTAGCAGCCATGGCCTCCCTGGGCCTGTGAGCCACCAGTGCTGGCCAGGGTTGACCGGCCTGCCCAAAGCAGCTTCCGGCCACATTAGACCTGTGTGCCTTTAGCTCTGTCAGACCCCACCTTCCACCACAAGGACAGATAGAGCCCAGAGCCTCATGAGGAAGCCCCTGAGGACACTGTCTGCCACCCATTGTCTCCTCCGTCTCCACCAAAGGAGCATGGGTGTCACATGGTTACCAACTGCAGACCAGACAGACTTCTCCAGCCTAGTCCCAGGCCCTGGGCCCTCTCTTGCCCCAGCGGGCTCCGACACCTCCTCTATGCACGGGCAGGGCCATCGCAGACACTGCCCAGAGTTTAGACATGCGGGGAGCCTAAAGCCCCATCTCACAGCGTCTTGCTTCTCTCCCATGTCATCACAGAGCTCCTACCCCATCTGGGAGGACTTCAACTCCAAGGCTGCAAAGCTCCACTCTCAGCTGAGGTGAGGCGCAGGCGGGGTTGTCCACGCTGGGGAGGGATGGCCAGAGAAGGCCTCTCAGCTGCTCACACACCCCGCTGTCCGTCTCCCCAGGACCACCGTGCTGGCTGCTGTGGCCTTCCTCGATGCCTTCCAGAAAGTAGCTGACATGGCCACCAACACCCGAGGTGGGGAGGGAGCGTGGTTGGAGGTGGGGGTGCGCCCAGTGGGCCGGGAGGCTGGAGAGGGATATGGGCCTTGGGAAGGACACAAAGCCCAGAATGGAGACCTTGGCTTCTGTTGTGATGGCATGGGACAGGTGAGCAGTGACAGGGACGTTACCAGGAGATCATCCTCCTGCTATGGGCAGCTCAGTTAACCTCTCAGTGGCAGCTGTTGACGGCTCTGTAGTTCCTTAGTCATCCCCTTGTGCCTTCTGCAAGTTGTATGGGGCAGGTGAATAGTCCCTGGGGACTTGGAGGCCCCTTTTCCTCTTGGTTCATCTAGCAAGCACCTGGGATCCCACACAGTTGAGTGCTAACACAATCCAGGGCTGCATCCTGTGGGATCTGCACCCACCTAGGTCCCAGTAGAACAATTCAGAAATGTTGCTGGCTTTTCCTTGGGTGTCTCATCTTTGTCCCAGCTAGGAAAGGGGGAGGGCTCCAGGACTGGCCAGCGGGGCACCCGAAGCCAGAAACCAACGAAGGCTAGGATGGCCCAATATGTCCCAACCCTAGTTCCAAGGGCTACGAGATTGCAGGTGATGGGGGCGGGGCGGAGCGTCCTTTCAGGGACAGCGCGCCCCCTCGTGGCCCGAAGCCGGGACTGCAGAGCCCCCCCCCCAGCCAGGCCCCTTCCCATGTAGCTTGCTTCCTTGCCAGGGGCCACGCGGGACATTGGCTCAGCGCTCACGCGCATGTGCATGCGCCACCGCAGCATCGAGACCAAGCTGCGGCAGTTCACCAAGTGAGTGGGCACAGCGGACCGCAGGGGCATTCTAGCCTCGAGAGGCCATCCGTAGCCTACCTCAGCCCCCTAGTCCTGACCCACGACTCTGTCCCACAGTGCGCTGCTGGAGAGCCTTATCAATCCACTGCAGGAGCGCATCGAAGACTGGAAGAAGTCAGCCAACCAACTGGACAAGGACCATGCTAAAGGTAGGGTGGGACTCTGCGGGGGGGGGTTCCAGAGCCTCTCCTCGGGGACCCCTTACTATAGCTCCCCTCTCACCCCTGCACAGAGTACAAGCGAGCCAGGCATGAAATCAAAAAGAAGTCATCCGACACGCTGAAGCTGCAGAAGAAGGCACGCAAAGGTAGAGCCCGCGGCACCCCCCTGAGGCCCAGTGCCTCGGCCCCGTTCCATAGGCCCAGCTGCCCTGTGGAGCACAGCCAGGGCATCGTCCTGGCCAGGGGGTCCTGTCCCCAGCACAGGTCACCCCAACATGTCGGGTGGGACTGAGGGAGCACCCAGCACCCCAGACTGCCCAGGCCCCCACCCCTCCCCAGGAGTGGCTCACCCGGCTGTCTTTCACACATTCTTTCTTTCTCTGTCTCCTCTCCTCCTCCCACATCCGTCCTGTAGAGCTGCTTGGTAAGTCAAATGTCCGTCCCTCCAGCTGCTCCTTGTTGCCTCTCTCTGCCTCCACCCCCACCCCCAGCTCAGGGCCACTGGAAGGAACCTCTCCAGGCCAAGGAGGAGAAGGCGGATGGTCCGGCAAGGGAGGGGCCTGGGGCACACTTCCCTTGGTGTCCTTAGGACCCCTGTCCAGAAATGAGTCCCAAGCCACCTCTGGGTCAGTGTGCCAGGCCAAGAGGGGTTCAGTGGCTGGGCGGGGTGGGGGTCACAGGCCCTGGCTGTCCCACCTCCTTCCCCCTGACCATTTCCTCCACACCGTCCTTTCTCCTCTCTCTGTCTCTCACTGCTTCTTTGTGCCGCTGCTGCTGTCCTGTGCACTGGTCCCTGAGCTGAGCTCTGACCCATGCTGACACACTCCTGCCTGCTTCCCAGGCAGCTCCAGACCCCTGCACCTCTTAGTGGCCTGGCCTGAAGCTGAGCTGAGCCCTCCCCTGCTCCCTTTGCCTCCCCTCCACCCCCATCCCCCCACCCCCTGCTCTCAGCCATTTCCCTCTGTCTCTTGAGGTCAGGGCTACCCTGCTGGGCCAGTTAAAGCCTCCTGAGGGGTAGAGGCCTCCAGGTGGCCTCCCTGTGGTCCGGCCCACCCCATTTCCCATGTGGCTTTACAGCTTGGTGTTGCTGTGTCTGTGAGTCTGTCTGCGTGTCTTCTCTGCCTGCTCTGGTGGGACCAGCCCCTCCACAAGCCTTAGAGTCTGCTCCATGCTCCCTGGCTCCCTTGCCCCAACCCCACAGCCAAAAGCACCCCACGGGGGCCTAAGCCATAGGTACAGTCACCCAGGCCAGCGTCCCCAGCGCGGCCTCTCCTCCCAACCCCTGCAGGAAAAGGAGACCTGCAGCCTCAGCTGGACAGTGCGCTGCAAGACGTCAATGACATGTACCTGCTACTGGAAGAGACGGAGAAGCAGGCAGTCCGCCGGGCACTGATCGAGGAGCGCGGGCGCTTCTGCACCTTCACCGCGTTTCTTCAGCCTGTGGTGGTGGGTCTCCTGATGATTTGGACCCTCCCCCTGGGGAGGGGTGGGGACAGGCCCGGGGTAGACCTCCTAACCTCCCACATTGCTTCTTGGGGATCCTGGGTGAGTTCACTCAGGGCCTGGTATGCCTGGCCTGAAAGCAGGTCTTACAGCTCGTGACACTCTGGCTGAATATACGTAGATGTTTACATGAGTGACCCTGGTTGTACAGGCCCAGCCTGGGTCAGCGTTAATGATCAGGGAAGGGCCAGAGAGGAGACGCCTAACGGGCCTGTTTCACCAGAGTGGGTGGCCAGGTGCGGGAGCTCAGGGACTGACTGGCTGCTTCCTCAGAACGGCGAGCTGACCATGCTGGGAGAGATCACCCACCTCCAGGGCATCATTGACGACCTGGTGGTGCTGACTGCAGAACCGCACAAGCTGCCTCCCGCCAGTGAGCAGGTGCGGCCAGCCCTGGAGTCAAGGGCCAAGACCAGGACCAGGGAAGAGATGGTCCTGCCCTCGTGTGGGGACCGTAGATAAAAGAGAAGAGGAAAGTATTTGGGGGAGGTACCTGGGGGAAGAGGGCCAGAAACTGTCCAATGGCCCCGAGGGATTTCTGTACATGCCTGCCCTGGTGACGTATGAATTGCTCAGGACCCAGTAGGGCTCACACAGACACAGAAGGGCAGAAGCCAGGTCCCTGGGGCTTGACCCCTCAAAACATAGAGGTCCCTGGGTGCCATCCGTTTCCGGATCACCTCCCTTCCCGTAGAACCAAAGCCATCCCACACAGAGGCGCACACTGCACTGGACAGCCCCTGTGGTTGGTAACTGCCTGTGTACCTCGAACTCAGCAGCACGCCCCCCTCGGGTTGCCTCACTGAGTTCTTTCAACTGTGTTCTGAGCTGTCTCCAGCTCACGGAAGAAAGCACGACTCAGAAAGGTCCAGAGACCATCTCCGCCCCTGATGTCATGGCATGAGTCCTTGGTAGCACCTGCTTGTCCCTTGTCTCCTGCCTGGTGGGACAAGGTTCAGTAATAAGCCAGAATGACTAGGGTAGGGTGGCTTGATGTCTTCAGGGTCATCTCCTGAGGTGTAGTCCATGGTTGGGGACACAGTGAAGGATGCCCTGCCCTACAGCTCTCAGAAGCAGGGTAAGACATTCTAGCCTTAGGAGTCGCCTCTAATGACCGCCCCCATGTCCCCGTCCAGGTGATCAAAGACCTGAAGGGCTCCGACTATAGCTGGTCGTACCAGACACCACCCTCATCACCCAGCAGCTCCAGCTCCCGGAAGTCCAGCATGTGCAGGTGGGTGGGGAGTAATGGAGGGTGGACGGGGAGGTAATCCCAGGAAGGTCTAGGGAAACCCAGGAACGCTGGCTTAGCAATTGCTTCAGCACCGCACTGGAACTCACACTGCCTCTAAGCATCCAAGCACTTTTTTTTTTTTTTTTTTTTTGGTTCTACGAGACAGGGTTTCTCTGTATTATTTTGGAGGCTGTCGGTCCAGCCTAGCCTCGAACTCACAGAGATACGCCTGCCTCTGCCTCCCGAGTGCTGGGATTAAAGGCGTGCGCCACCAACACCCGGCTCCAAGCACTTTTCACACACAGGGCGTATGGGCGAGGCGTGTTGGCAGGAAAGGCGGGTGGGCAGTGGCTTCATTGATGGAGTGTCGCTGTGTGCCAAGGCGCCAAGGGTTTTTCTACATTGAGTCCTGGCACCGTTGCGTCAGGAGGGGAACTGAGACACTTGAGTTGTAATTTAGCCACTGGCCCCTGCCGGGCCTAGCACAGTCTGTTATGGTAGCGATAAGAAGGTGGGATCCAGGAAGGGAAGCAGGAAGATCATGGCTTCAGGGCCAACCTGGGCTGCTTATTAAGACCCTATCTCAAAAAATAAATGTAACAGGTTAAGTGGAGCAACATTTTTGGTAGTGCACGCCTTTTATCCCAGCACAAGGAAACCAGAGGCAGGTGGATCTCTGAGAGTTCAAGGCCAGCCTAGACAACACAGTGAGTGTCAAGACTATGTAGAGATACTGGTTGCATGCATACCTTTAATCCCAGCATTTGGACGGGGAGGGCAGGAAATCAAGGTCATTCATAACTATATGCCAAGTCGGAAGCCAGCCTAGACTATATGAGACCCTGCCCCAATATAGAAAACTAAAAAAGAGTCTAAGATCAAGAAGCTTCCGGGAATATCTGTTTGGGCTTCAGGGTAAAGGACACTCCAGCCTCATGGTTGCCTCAAGTTGGTCTCCGGCAATTGCCACAGGTTTCAGCCCTGGCTTGAGTGGGCTTTGGGGGGTCTCCATCAGGCTGGCCCTGAGGTCAGTTAGAAGGGGATGCTTATGGTTCAAGGGACCTCAGGTAGGGAAGGCAGTGAACTCAGCAGCTTATGGATTAGCAAGGCTCTGTCTCAGGTACCCTTCTCCCCAGAATGTTCTCTGTCTGGGCACTGGGAGCTAGAAAGAAGCTAGACCCAATGATCGGTGGGCCCACAGCTTCTGGGGCCTCTTCAGACCCTGGATGAGTGGCAGTGGCTGTCCCAGGAGGACTGTAATTATAAAGGAGATGTTTAGGGGTGGGGCTTTGGAGGACCAAGGTCACGCCCAGGAGAAGGGCAGTCTCCACTCCCAGGAATGCCGGCTAGAGGTGGAATGGATGGGCAAAGGGGAGAGCCCCAGAAAACTGCACCCCTTGAGAGGGGGTGACAAGGTGATGACAAGGTAGGACCAGCCTGGCAAGCACCCTCCATTTCCAGACGCCATCATCTCCCCATATGCCAGGTAGTCAACTGTGACTAGACAGCAAGAAGCAGGCTGTGAGGAGGCAGTTGAGAAACTCCCAGCCTTGTGTCTGTTCTCAGTTTCCAGTGCCTGGTGACTCAGCTCCCCCATCATGAACAACCAGTGTGGTGGTGACATGGGAAGCGGAGGGACTCCCCACGGTGGGGGCACGCTGACAGGGACTCCCTGCTGGGCGATGCCGTCCCGGGGCTCCTCGGCAGTGCCTGGCTCTCAGCACCTCGTAGTCTGACGTTTTCTTCTCCTTCCTTTGCTCCTCGTCTCTTCCCACCCTCATCTGTCACCCTCCCCCCTTTACACACACCCGTGTCTCCCCGTCTGGCTGCTGTGTCTCTCCCTTCACCCCCCTAGCGCCCCCAGCAGCAGTAGCAGTGCCAAGGGTGGCGGAGCCCCATGGCCTGGGGGTGCCCAAACATACTCACCCAGTTCCACCTGTCGCTACCGCAGCCTGGCACAGCCGGCCACCACCCGCCTCTCCAGTGTCTCTTCCCATGACTCTGGCTTCGTCTCCCAGGACGCCGCCTACTCCAAGCCCCCTTCGCCCATGCCTTCAGACATCACCAGCCAGGTGAGAGGACATCGGGAGGACCACAGGGGTGGGGAGCAGGAGCCTCATGCCAGCCTCGGGCTGTCCTTGAGAGGGGAAGCAGTTAGCTCATGGAGACTGGTCGCACGGCCTTCCTGCTGTCCTGCGTGTCTCTCATTTTTCTCCATCTCCAAGCTGCTTTTAAACAGTGTATCACTGTGTCTGAGGTGAGCCTCGTCTGGACATTCTTGTTCTATCCAAGCTGACAGTTTCTGTGCTGATGATGCCCAGAACGCTGTACAAACTAGACAAGCACTCTGCCACTGAACTATGCCTCTAGCCTTAGCCATTTGTGTATGTAGTAGTTTTACTATTTATTGTTTTATGAGAGAGGCTGTTTTGTCTGCACATTGTCTATGTATTGTGTGTGTGCCTGGTGTGTAAGAAGGCCAGAAGAGAGCCTTAGATGGACAGTTATGAACTGCAGTGTGGGTGCTAGCAAGTGAAGCAGCCAGTGGTCTCAACGGCTGAGCTGTCGCCCACATGTGGTAGTCTTACATCAGGGTATTAGGTAGCACAGTGTGCATGTGTGTGCGTGTGCGTGTGTGCGTGTGTGCGCGTGCGTGTGCGTGTGTTTCTTTTTATTGTTTTAAATTGTGGGTAGGTACGTGTCTGCATATGGGTGTATGCCTGTGAGTGCAGATGCCCATGGAGGTCGGAGGCTTTGGAGCTCCTCCAGCTGAAGTTACAGGCAGTTGTCAGCTCTCTGGCGTGGATGCTGGGAACCGAACTCAGGGCCCCTGGGAAAGCGGCAAGTGGTGCTCTTAGTCACTGAGCCATCCCTCCAGCCCATGGCGTGGCTTTTCTGTATGGGATCTAGGGATCAAGCTCAGGACCTCACTCTTTCTGTCTCTCAGTCCCCAGTAATTACCTGTTCACCCTACTTTCATTGCTTCCGTTCTGCTGGGGTTAGAATTAAATGTATGTCACATTCTTCTGTCTTTCTGTGTCTCTTTCTTCAATAAGGACTTAGGGTGTTTTTTGTTGTTGTTCAATTGATTCATTAATGTTTTGGGCTTTTGGTTTTTTAATCAGGGACAAGTTTTCCCTATATATTGCAGGCTGGTCTCAAACTAGCAATCTCCCTGCTTCAGCCTCCTAAGTGCTAGGATTACAGGACTGCAACTTCATGCCTGGCTCATTTCATTTTAGGCTCATAAAAGAGCTGTAAACAGCTAGGAATCCTGCCCACAGTCTTACCTCAAGGTCACCATCTTACGTAACCACCAAACAATTTTTTTGTTTGTTTGTGTTTAACCCCCTTGGTTTTTGTTTTGGTTTTTCAGTTTTGGGAGTTTGTTTGTTTTTGGTTTTCCAAGACAGGGTTTCTCTGGGTAGCTTTGTAGACCAGAGACCCGCCTGCCTCCGCCTCCCGAGTGCTGGGATTAAAGGCCTGCGCCGCCTCTCACTGTGTGACTCAGGCTGGCCCCAAACTCCATCTTCTTGCCTCAGCCTTCTAAATGTTGTGATTATGGATGTGAGATGCGACACCCAGCTTAAATACCAAGGTGACATTCTTTTTTCTGGCACTAAGAATGGAACCCAAGGACTTGTGCAGGCTAGGCAAGCACCCTGTCCCTGAGCCCCCAAACCATTTCAGAACTGGGGGAATAAGACTGGCCCAATGGCCTCACACCACATGTTCTACAGCCCTTTGTTTTGCTTTGTTGTATTTGTTTTTTGGGGGGTGACCCCCTCCACACACATACACATTTAGCTAGTTTCCTCTCTGCTGTCCTTTTATCTGGTCCAGGAGACCAGAGTGCAGCAGAAAACCCTGGGTTGCATTGAGTTCTTAGTGCCATCCACGCTTCTCCTATGTGCGATGGTGCAGTTTTCTGTCTAGAATCTCAACTTTGGTATGGTGAATACCACCATTCAGATATTTTATAGACTGCCTGTTAGTTTGGGCTGGTCTGATGTCTTCTTGTTGAGAATAAAAGGCCAAACGTCTCTGGCAAGAGTACCACAGAAGTGGTGTTCTCTCTACTGTGAGATGTCGTTTTGCCTCATGACTGGTGACGAGACGGAGTTGGCCAGACTACCCACTGTTCCTTTCCTCTTGTAATTAATGAGGTATCCTGTGGGTCACACCTTGAGACTCTACAAATACCCTCCCTGCTCCCCACCAATTATTCACACCTTTATTTCAGCACCTTCACCTGTTCAAAAGGGATTTCCTGATTCCATCGTTCCTCCCATTTATCGACTGAAATCCCACTGGAAAATCAAGGCATCCCTTCTCCCCACATATTTGTGTACACAGTTACCTATGTGTGCCATAATGGACTCATAAAACTGTGTGATCTATGAGTTAAAACCCACTGCCACTGAGTGCCAAGAATTTTAATTGATATACGCTGTCCATCCATACAAAGTAAATATATATCTGAAAAAGTCTGCAACTGAACACACTCATGCCGTCAGCACCAAAAACAAGACACAGCTGACCCCAACGTTCCTGCATGCCTCCATCACTACACACCTGTAACTTACTAGGCTAGGCGCGTAGCTCAGTTGTCAAACACTTATATAGCATTCATGAAGCCTTGGGTTTGATCCCAGTACCACAAAAAATTACATATATGGTTTATATGAAACCATGCAGGATGTGTCTTGTGTGTTTGACTTCTGCTCCCAGCATTATGTTTATGAGCTATGAGATTCATCTGTTTTACATGGAAACGGGTATCATTTTCATTGATATATCATTCCATTGAATACGTATGTAATTTATTTGAGTAGTCTAGGTTGCTGGGACATTTAAATAGTTCCCTGGTATTCTAGCTTCATTTCTGTGAGAAAAATATCCTAACAAAAAAAGCAGTTTACAGGGGAAAGGGATTTATTCATCTTTTAATCCAGATAATAGGCCACCTTTATGGGCAAGGTAGAAACTTCAAACAGCTCATTAACAGTTACGAGCAGAGAAGTGAACGAATGCTTGCTTGCTTGTGCTCAGCCTGATTTCTCCACTCATTCAGATCGGGCCTAGGGAATGGTGCCGCCTATGTGGGCTGGATCAGTTAACTTCAGACAACCACCCATAGACATGTGCACAGGCCAATCCAATGCAGACATTCCCTACAGAGCGAGTTCCAGGACAGCCTCCAAAGCTACAGAGAAACCCTGTCTCGAAAAACTAAAAAAAAAAGACTCTCCTCTTAAGTGATGCTGTATTCTGTCGAGTTAAGAAAGCTAGCCATCCCACCACGGCTGCTCATGGTGCTGCTGTGCACATTCACGGTGCTGTGGGAAATGTGGGTGGGCAGGCGTACCACTATGAATCACAAGATTCTCGTTACCAAGGTTGTGACAGCTGTTGGCTGTGCCACAACCCTAACAGCCCTGGCATTTTAGAACTTTTTCACTTTAGTTGTTTTGATATGCATACAGTAGTAATAGTGCCTGTACTTTAATGCTTCTTATGATAATGCGGTAGAACATTTTTTATACTTTTTCTTTGAGACGGTCTCACTACATAGTCCTGGTCATCCTGGAACTCCATCTGTAGACCAGGCTGACCTCGAACTCACAGAGATCCGCCTGCCTCTGCCTCCCGAGTGCTGGGATTAAAGGCGTGTGCCACTAGGTCTAATGTATTTTTCATACTTGTAAAGAACATTTGAATATCTTTTTTTTTTTTTTTTTGGTTTTTTTTTCCGAGACAGGGTTTCTCTGTGGCTTTGGCGGCTGTCCTGGAACTAGCTCTTGTAGACCAGGCTGGTCTCGAACTCACAGAGATCCGCCTGCCTCTGCCTCCCGAGTGCTGAGATTAAAGGCATGGGCCACCAACGCCCGGCTTGAATATCTTTTTGCAGGACCTATTCATATCATTTGCCCACTTTTCTTTTTTTTAATGTTTATTTTTATGCATACAGTGTTCTGCCAGAAGAAGGCACCAGACCTCATTATGGATGGTTGTGAGCCACCATGTGGTTGCTGGGAATTGAACTCAGGACCTCTGGAAGAGCAGCCAGTGCCCTTAACCTCTGAGCTATCTCTCCAGCCCCCATTTGCCCACTTTTCATGAGAGAGTGTTTGCGTGTATGTTGATTTTTAGAATTCTACATATATTGTAGGTACATATCCTTCATCAGAAATATTCTCTGAGCTAGGCGTTGGTGGCCCATGCCTTTAATCGCAGCACTCGGGAGGCAGAGGCAGGCAGATCTCTGTGAGTTCAAGACCAGCCTGGTCTACAAGAGCTAGTTCCAGGATAGCCTCCAAAGCCACAGAGAAACCCTGCCTCTGAAAAAAAAGAAAAGAAAAAGAAATATTCTCTGAGTACTATTTTACTACCTTATTGGTATCTATGTATCTATGTTCTTTTTTTTTTTTTTTTTTTTTGAGACAGGATTTCTCTTTGTAGCCCTGGTTGTCCTGGATCTTGCTCTGTGGACCAGGCTAGCCTCAAACTCATGTGTCTGCCTCTGCCTCCTCAGTGCTAGAATTAAAGGCATGTGCTGGTATCTGTTTTCTAATATTTCCATGTTTTTATTTCATGTGTTAATTATTTTCCTGCCTGCATACATGCAGTGCCTGAGGAGACCTGAAAAGGGCATCAGAATCCTTGGAACTGGAGTTACAGCTAGTGGGAATTGAACCCAGGTCTTCTACAAGAACAGCAGTGCTCTTAACTGCTGAGCCATCTCTCTAGCCCTTTTAGTAGTATCTTTGAAGGACCAAATGTCCCTAATTTTAAGATCAGTCCAATTTATCCATTTTAAAAATCATTAGCGCTTTTGTTGTTCTGCTTGAGATACTGAATCATTCAAAAGCTCTTTATTCTGTCATCGTATTTCTCTAGCCCTTTTAGTCTCTGATTTATTTTTAAGATTTATTATGTATACAGTGTTCTGTCTGCATGTATGCCTTCAGGCCAGAAGAGGGCACCAGATCTCATTCAAGGTGGTTGTGAGCCACCATGTGGTTGCTGGTAATTGAACTCAGGACCTCCGGAAGAGCAGTCAGTGCTCTTAACTACTGAGCCATCTCTCCAGACCCTCTCTGATGTCTTTTTCTTGCTTTATTGCCCTGACAGGGATTGCTTGAAAATGGTGATAGTGGACATCTTTGTCTTTTCCCCAGCCTCAGAGGGAAAGGTGTCCATATCTCTGTGGATCTTCTCTTTTGGGCTAAAGAAGTTCCTTACTGTTAATGGCTTGTGTTATTTTTTTTTCTTTTTTGTGTGTTAACCTTCTTGCTAAGTTTTTTTGTTGTGGTTGTTGTTGTTTTTGTTTTTTTGTTTTGTTTTGTTCTTTTTACAGGGTTTCTCTGTAGCTTTGGAGGCTGTCCTGGAACTCGCTCTATACACCAGGCTCGTCTCAGACTCACAGAGATTCACCTGCTTCTGCTTCCCAAGTGCTGGGATTAAAGGCGTGAGCCACCACCACCACCTGGCTCTTGCTGAGTTGGAGATATTATATATATAACATATATAAATTATATATTTATTTATTATTTATTATATATATGTGAGTGCTTTGTTTTCTTCCATACCAGAAAAGAGCACCAGATCTCATTACAGATGGCTGTGAGCCACCACGTGGTTGCTGGGAACTGAACTCAGGACCTCTGGAAGAGCAGCCAATCAGTGCTCTTAACCGCTGAACCATCTCTCCAGCCCTCTTGCTGAGTTTTAACACTGGGTTTTTTACTGGGTTAATGTCACATTGCTGAATGTGAATGTGTTATTTCTGTTATTTCTCCCTCGGGTGACCCCTGCTCCTCACTGCAGGAAACGTTGTAGTCTAAGTCAGGGATGTCACGGAAGCGTTGGTAGGGAAGGCTGCCGCTGAAGCTTCCCGGGCTTAGCTGGTCATCACATGGCGATGGGGTCATCCGACTCCAGCTCTGCTCTCACTGCAGAGTCAGCATCTGCCTTGAGGTCCCCTCTTCCTTGACAGCTCCTGTACTGCCCTGTCCTCCTCCTCCCTGCCACTGAGCCTCAGCACCCCCAAAGACTTGCGAACCTCGTCTCTAATCAGCCTTGTCCCACCCGACTGCTGCCCCATGCCTAGCCCTAGCCCCAATCCTTCCCTTGCTCCAGGTCGTACATGTGGTTGTGCACAGAGAGCTGATGGCCATCTCAGTCACATGTGCCCAGAATGGCACTCAGGACTGTGTAGTCCCTTCTTTCCATGCCATCCCTGAGAAAACAGTGACATCATCAACCGGGATGCCCAAACCAAACACCCTTGTGTGTCCCCAGTGTCACTCTTTCCCTTGCCGCCACAAGCAAGCTGTCGGTAGTGAATTCTCTAAGTTGAAGCCTTAAAACACAGGCTGGGTTGTGGGCAGGGCAGTGCCTGCAGGATGTGCCCTGGGCTGCTGCCTCTGTGTCTGTGGTGGTCTTGGTGGCTCTACCACCAGGAGGGGAGTACAGGGTCAAATGCTGAATCGGACCGCCCACTGCACGCTACCACTGTGACCAGACCTCTTTTCTCCTCCCTGCCTCGCTGGCCTGTCTGTCCGCGGGGGCCCCCATCTGCGACCACCCGCTCGCCTCTGCATGGCAGAAGTCCTCCAGCTCTGCGTCCTCCGAGGCCTCAGAAACCTGCCAGTCGGTTAGCGAGTGCAGCTCCCCCACCTCGGTCAGTGCCCTTGGCCCCAGTCCCATGACCATTACCCGATGCCCACCCCATGCCCTCCTGACCTGGGGCAGTTGCCACAGCGCGGGCTGCCAGATTCAGCAGGAAGCTGTATGGCCTGGCGTTTGTTTGTGATACAGCCACACCCAGGCGCTTCTGTGGTCATACCTCTCTGTCTTGGGACATCCTGCCCTGCCCCGGGCTGGTGGAACAGAGCAGTCACCACTGCCCACCAGATTCGGGCCTGAGCCCTGATTGTGAACAAGAGACCCCTCACTGATCAGTACCCCCTGAGCCTCAGCCACAAAGAAGGGCCTCTGGTCACGGGCAACAAGGCCTAGGGTCTTCCTAACTTGCCTGCCGTACCTTGCAGGACTGGACCAAGACTGGTCCCCATGAACAGCCCTCGGCCACCACCCTGCAGCGGAGGAAAGATCGGGTGGAGCTCCTGCGAGACACTGAGCCGGGCCCCACTGGGGGAAGCGCTGTGGGCTCCAGTGGAGAGGAGGTACCCCGTCCCCGGATGTCTCCTGCAACCATAGCAGCCAAAGTAAGTGACAGCTGGCTCCCAGCCAGGCCGCACCTTCACTCCTGGGTCAGGGCCAGCATACCCACAGGTGGTCTTCTGGGCCCTCTCTGTCCACCTCAGTGGAGCCACCTAGACTCCCAAAAGAAGGTGGAGGTGGAGGTCAGTCTCTAGTCCGCCATTTTCCCCACCCTCAGCATGGTGAGGAGGTGTCCCCTGCAGCCAGTGATCTGGCCATGGTGCTGACCCGTGGACTGAGCCTGGAACACCAGAAGAGCAGCCGGGACTCGCTGCAGTACTCCAGTGGCTACAGCACGCAGACGACCACGCCTTCGTGCTCCGAGGACACCATCCCCTCCCAAGGTGGGCCTAGAGGCGTCCCACAGGCTGAGTGTGCTTGCTGGGCCTTCCCAGACGCAGGACCCACCCAACCCTGGACACCCGGGATGAGGGTCCCACGGAAGAGGCCTGCCTTCCCTCTCTCTGTCTCCCTTGAGTAGGTGTGGGGTTCAGGGAGCCCCCTTGACCCTGGGCTCACCACGCCCTGTGTCTCCAGGCTCAGACTACGACTGCTACTCTGTGAATGGGGATGCGGACAGCGAGGGCCCCCCTGAGTTCGACAAATCATCCACCATCCCTCGAAACAGCAACATTGCCCAGAACTACCGCCGCCTGATCCAGACCAAGCGCCCGGCCTCCACTGCTGGGCTGCCCACTGCAGGGCTGCCCACGGCCATGGGGCTACCTTCAGGTGCACCCCCTGGTGTGGCCACCATCCGCCGCACACCCTCTACCAAGCCCACTGTGCGCCGCGCCCTGTCCAGCGCGGGCCCCATCCCCATCCGCCCACCCATCGTCCCTGTGAAGACACCCACAGTGCCCGACTCCCCTGGTTATGTGGGGCCCACGCGGGCGGGCAGCGAGGAGTGTGTCTTCTATACCGACGAGGCGGCCTCGCCTCTGGCTGCAGACCTGGCCAAAGCCTCCCCGAAGAGGCTCAGCCTGCCCAACACAGCCTGGGGCAGCCCATCCCCTGAGGCAGCTAGCCACAGCGGGGCTGGGGTGGGGCTGGCCGCTGAGGACGATGAAGAGCAGCAGCTGGCTGCCAACAGGCACAGCCTGGTGGAGAAGCTCGGGGAGCTGGTGGCCGGTGCCCACGCCCTGGGTGAGGGCCAGTTCCCTTTCCCTACTGCTCTGTCGGCCACCCCTTCAGAGGAGACACCCACCCCACCCCCTGCTGCCACCAGTGACCCCCCAGCCGAAGACATGCTGGTGGCCATTCGGCGAGGGGTCCGGCTCCGCAGGACCGTCACCAACGACAGGTCGGCGCCCCGCATCTTATGATGGTGCCGCCCTCCCCTCCCTATCTGGGCTGGCACACGTAGGTGGCCTGATCTGCGAGCAGCGGCCAGCCACTGAGCAGTGGCTCAGCCAGAAGACAGAACAGCGTCAGGAATGAGGCACAGCCACTTTACAGAAAGACAGCCAGGCTGATCTCAGCATCTCATGGGAAGTGACTTCCTTCGCGCACCTCGCCAGGACAGAGCCTGTTTTATACTTCCCTCACCCACTCCTCCCTGTAGGCCCTGCTGTGCCCCAACCCCAGAGCCCATAACCAAGGGCTGGGCCTGCCACACGGCCCCACCTGGCCTGGGGTCCACGATTTCCTTCCTCTGTTCCTGCTGCCCCCAGGGCCGTGTGCCCGGCTCTTCCCTTGAATGCCGGCTTCCCCTTCTCCCTGTCTGGGCCCCATGCCCTTTCCTCTGCCTTTACCCTGCCTCTCCAGGCTCTACTCTTTTGGGGACAGGGTGGTCATGGAGGGGCCAGGCACCCAATCAGCTGAGTACCAATTTGTGACTGGGGTTAGGGAACCGTCAAGTCTTGGGAAGCCAGGCCCACTTGAGGGGAAGGAGAGCCTAGAGGGAGGAAATGTAGGGGCCTTGTCTCAGGGGACCTTCCAGCACCCTTCCCTGGGAGGAGTAGCTAGTGGAGGCGAGGCAGGGCAGCCGGAGGGTGAGGCCAGAAGCCCACAGCAGGTGTTTCACACATCCTGCTCTCCTCTGGACACTTTGAGGCTTTAACTTGGGGACACCTTGGGGTTACAGTCTCGCCCGTTGCTGGGGATAAGGGCTGGAGCATTAGAGGGTATGGGGGGGATATTTTATGACTGTAATAAAATGGAGCTGGCCCCAGACAGGAACTACGTGTGGGGCTAGCTGGTGGTACAGGGTGTGTGTCTGAGTGCCTGAGAGACAGATGTGGGGGCCCCACAGTGGGCTCGTGGCAGGAGAAGGGTGGAGTCAGCTTTCACTAAACCAGGGGGAGCTACTCTTCTCGCCACCGTCTCGAGTGTTGGTAGAATAAGGCTTGAGAGGGTAGGCCAGGGGCCTGGGCAGTCTGTGTGGTCTGAGTGAGCTGCAGGCCCAGCTCAGAGAAAGTCTTAGCAGGCCAGTTCTGACTTTCTGTTGCCAGAGGCAATGCCATCATTGCTTGCAGGCCTGGCTGGGTCTGGCAGCAGGGGCCTGAGAAGCGGGGACTGCCTCCACTGTGCAACCCCAAGTCTGAGCAAGTCAAAGCACGTTATGTGTAGGGCGAGAGGAGAGATTCAGGAGGTGCGGGTAGAGCAGGCAGCAAACTCCCTCGCCCCACAGGGAGTCCAGAGAGCATGCCTTGTTCTGGACGGAGTGGAGTCGGGGCCGATCTGGGCCCAAGGTTAAGGGAGCTCCAATGCCCATGAGATTTCTAGAGAATGAGTTCCCGGTCTGAGACCTGGTCCGCTAACGTCAGTTGTAACCAGACCCCCAAGTATAGGGCCGGGAAAGCAGGTGGCCAGTTGTGGAACCCTGGGGTAACATACTGGCTGCACCTTCCCCAGCAGGGCTCTCAGGGCCGATGGAAAGGGATGCGGGATGTGGGCCCTACACTCGGGGTGTGGCTGGGTCCTGGAGGAGGGGGTGTTCCTGAGAGCATGGGCTCCGAGCCCTGAAGAGAAGGAGGTCAGGGCCTCCCCAGGGAGAGGATGGGGTGGCATCCCCACTCCCACTCAGCCTCCCTCCATCCCTCCCCCGCTCACCTTCTCTGTAGTGTCCACCCCTCATGTAGGCCCACCCTCGGGATCCGAGCCAACCACCCTGCACCACAGACTTTGCTTTGGGGCTTCTTCACATACATTTTATTTTTCGTTTTGTACAGCAAAATATTCTTTTCAAATGTGTCTTTTGACTGACGTAACTTTTCTGGTGCTGTTAACGTGTTCCTTTTTTTTTTAATTTATTTTGCACCCTTCTGGTTCCTCCTCATCCTCCACCTCCCATCCTCCATCCCACCAGAACCACTTTTTTTTTCTTTTCTTTCTGTCAAGTTTTGGATAAATTCTCCTACCCTCCCCTTTTCCATCCTCTCCTTGATTTAAATAGTCACTGCTACAAGTAACAAATGCACTGTGAAGATTCCAGTATTAATAAAGTGGTACTGTAGTTAACACCCTGGGCCTGCCTGCCTTCCCTGGGCTGTGGTACTGTAGTTAACACCCTGGGCCTGCCTGCCTTTCCTGAGCTGCAGGGCCTGCTCTGCTCCCCACCCCTGCGTCCCGGCCTTCGTCAGCCCCGAGCTGGGTTGATACAAGCCACGGAGAAGTGGGGTGCTTGGTCAGAGGCCTGAGTCGAACCCTGAAGTGCTCCCACGGGACTGTGGGGACGCTGGAGGGAGGGAACAACCATGGTCCAGGAGGCCCCTTGGCGCCCCAGCATACTTTATTCAGGCCTGCTGACGCGTCAGAACACAGCTGGAAGAACCGAGTAAGTGCTCAGTGGCCCTGGGGAAGGATGGGCCCATTGCAACTGCACACACTCAGTGCGGGCCCCAGGCAGAACCAAGCCGACCCTCCATCGCCAGAACTCAGCCCCTCCAGCTTCACCCTCACAGATTCGAGCCAAACCAAACAAGTGGTCGTTTAATAGAAAAGGAACCAGAAGAGCACTGCTGTGGCAAGATACGGCATTTGGTCGGCCCTCAGCCCAGCACCCGACGTTCAGCACAACTGCAAAGCCCCAGGGAGTCCCAGAACTCCCTGCGGCACCCCATCTCCAGCCACACACCCGTGGGGCTACAGCGTGTGCACACTTCAGAGCCAGTCACAGGTAGGGGTGGCTGTGGGGGCAGCAGCCAGCCTTAAACTCCACGCCTCTCCCTTGAGGCTCCAGGTGGTATCAGGCACAGTGCCATTCCCAGGGGGCTTTCCCTGCAGGTCTGCCTACCCGCCATCCCACGAAGTCTCAGACCCAGGCCAGTTCCTGGCCCAACCCGGGGCCACCCCCGACTGCTCAGGGCAATGGACCGCGGCTTGAGCCCGGGGCACGGGGCAGGGAGGTGGAGGGCTGCCCCGGCAAAGGGTAAACGTTGGCAGCCGCACACTGCATCAAGGAGCCCGGACTGTGGGCGTGGAGACTCGGCAGCTCACAGTCCTGCCACTTGAGGATGGGACTTTGTTTACCTACGAGACACAAAGAAAAACAAGCCCTGCAGGACAGACCCGCCATGCCACACATTCTTGTCTCCACACTCTAGGCCCATCCCAGCTTCCAGAAACAGCCAAGAAAAGAGGGCATCCCCAAGACGGTGTGGACTCTGTGCACAAACCTGGGCCCAGATCCCTTGGCCTGCTGTTGCCAGCCCCACCCACAGGGTTTCCTTACAGCAAGAGCAGTACAGCAGCTCCATGACCCGGAAGCAGTTATCCAGCAAGGCTTTGGGCCGCACCAGCTTCAGGCTTAGGCCTGGGGTACTCAGAAGAGATAACACAGCTTCCACCTGAGGGCCGATCTCCACATCCTGAGATAGAAGAAACCATCAGGACAAGCAAAGAGAGAGGGACCCCACCACATGAGAACCATGGCAGCTGTCTAGCCTGGAGACGTCCCAACAAAATACAGCTTCTAGGGATCAGAAGGCCAGGAGGGTCCCTGCTGTCACCCCTCACAGAGGGTTCTGCTTTGTCATCAGAAAATAATCACAGAGCACAGGTCAGCACAGGGAGGAAGCTGGGACCTCCTTGTCGCTCCAGCAGGCCCGGTCACCAGCCTCCGACCCGGAAAACTGTCCGTCAGGAAGCAAAGCCCTCTGCTGAGGACCCCTGAGGCGAGAGTCACGCAGGAGAAGCTGAACATGCAGCTCCAAGCTCAGGTAATTTCTCGTCACAAAGCTTAGCAGAAAGGACAGTGTGGAGGGAGCTGTTGGCCCTGGAAGCCCAGAGCCACTGTAGAGGCATCATGGAAAGGGTAGGGCCTGAATTAAAGACGACTGTAGCTCACGCAAAGCCCTGAGCTGCGCTCTGTGCCCCAGGCCCTCCAAAATACCCTCAGTCCTACCATTCCATACCTGTGGGCGTGACCCTTTTTGGAAACTGTAGAAGTAATCAAGGTTCTCAAGTTTACATCATCGTGTTTTTAGGGCGGATGCTAAATCCAGTGGCTAATTGGTGTTGGGAATAGAACCTAGGGTCTTACCTACACTAGACCAGCTCTTTATATTCCCAGCCCTGGGGTCTCTATAGAGAACGGTCAGAAAGACAGAGGGGAACCGCCCAGAGCCACGTGATAAAGGTCATGAAGAGGCAGGAGCCACAAGAAGAATGAACGGGTCAGAGTGATACTGCCTCTTGCCAAGAACAGGACACACCGCCTAAGGCTGGGAGAGCGAAGACCTTTCAGGGGAAACTGTCCCTGCCAAGATCTTAATTCTGGACTTCTGGTTTCCAGGAGTTTGGTGTAAGTCACCCAGTTTGAGGTAATTCCTGACAGCAGCCTAAAAAAGTTATGGTCAACCCAGCCCACAGTCCAGTTCCTGTCTGGAAACAACGAAGATACCCAAAGCAAGCATGCATACATACATACATACATACATACATACATACATACATACATATCCTTGCCTAATGACAACCACCACCACCAAGGGCCACTGAGTGGCCATCAGAGACACTCAAAGTCAGAAACAGCAGGCAGGAGATATTCCAAAAGCAGAAGAACAGTCTAAAGCTGGGTGTGGTGGCATACACCTGTAACCTCTCCCTCGGGAGGCTGAGGGATGCAGAAGGAGCATAATTATGCCTGGACAAGAATGAGACCTTGACTCTACAAACAAAACAAAAAGAAAGACCGGCAAAAGCTAACTGGCATTCCTCAATCAGCTTAATACAGTATCAGTATCATCATGTGACCCAGTGGTCATAGCATCATCATGTGGCCCAGCGATTCCAATGTTTTTTGGGTTTTTTTTTTTTCGAGACAGGGTTTCTCTGTATTGTTTTGGAGGCTGTCCTGGAACTCGCTCTGTAGACCAGGCTGGCCTCGAACTCACAGAGATCCGCCTGCCTCTGCCTCCCGAGTGCTGGGATTAAATGCGTGCACCACCAATGCCTGGCTTTGTTTTGTTTTTTTGTTTTGTTTTTGTTTCGTTTTGCGATTCCACTGTTAAGACACTGCTATTTTCTTTTTTTGTTCCTTTCTTTTTTTAAAAGTTATTTATTATATATACAGTGTTCTGCTGCAGGTCAGAAAAGGGCACCAGATTGTATTATAGACAGTTGTGAGCCACCATGTAGATGCTGGGGATTGAACTCAGGACCTCTGGAAGAGCAGTCAGTGCTCTTAACCACTGAGCCATCTCTCCAGCCCTTGTTACACCTTTCCTGAAGTGCTGGGATTAAACATGCTCCTTTACTCCTGGTCCCTGTTTTGTTTTTGAGACAAGATCTGGATACATAGCCGAGGCTGGCTCCAATCTTACAAACCTCCTGCCACACCCAGCCTGCAAAGTGTGGGATTAGAGTCTGTTCAACTTTGTCAGATTCAACACATAAAATTAGAAAACTTTACCTAAGAACAAGCAACTAGACACAAATAGACAGATGGTGTATGACCCATCTTAGAAGCTATTCCAAGAAAAGCAAGTACATAATAGGAAAAAAAGACAGATTATGGGTTACTGGGGGTGGGAAGAGGTAAGAAATGGCGGCTTCCTGTATACAATTTCTTTGTGAGGTAATGGAAAAGAGTCTGAAATGGGTATGGTGATAGATGTATAGCCCTGTAAGTGTAAATCATGCCACCGAACCACCAACTAAAAATAGTCAAAACAGCAGGCTTTACATTGTAAAGTGTGCTCCCTCTTAACATAGCCTCCAGGTCTTTATCAAAGACTTTGTTTTAGTTGCCTTTTCTTAAATAATTTTTTCTCTTATTTATGTGTATAAGTGTGTGTGTGTGTGTGTGTGTGTGTGTGTGTGTGTGCTCCACCTATATGTGAGTGCCTATGGGGGCCAGTAGAGGGTGCTGGATTGTCTGGAGCTTGAGTTGTGAGCCAACTGACTTGAAAGCTGGGATCCTCTCTCCAAGAACAGCAAGTGCTCTTAACCAGTGAATCATCTTCCCAGGCCCAGTTTCTAATGGAAGCAATGAAAGCTGAGTAGAGGCCAGAATAATGCAGAACCCAGAGTCCCGACATCTCCCAGAGGATGAGGAGATAGGACAGGGTCATCAAATCCACATTTTATGGCTGGATAAGATTTAGGTGTCAACCCTTTCCTTTATAAGTGATAATCCTACAAGCCCTGTAGTGAAACAACTTGTTCAGATTACGCGGTTGGAAACAGCCAGTGTTCAGGTCTCGGGACCTGACCTCCTACATCACACACTGCTGTCAGCAGAGAAGGGAAGTGCCACACAGCTTCAAAGCCAGGACACAGACTGTTAACAGTGTCAGAAGACAGGAAGGCTAAGGCTGGCTGCAGGACTGGGCGTAGCTCAGTGGTAGAGGGGGTACCAGTATTCTGACCCAACTCCCAGCAGCAGGGAGGGCAAAGGAAAAGGGCCAGACCCCACTACACCCGGGTAATAAAACCGTCTCTGTGTTCAGCACTTTCGTACAGAGAGCCCAGGGCCAGGTCTAGAGGACTGAGGTCCTCAAACTCTCCCCCCAGCCTTGCTCCCATGAGCCTTCTGGAGTCTGTTCTATGGGTGAAACAATGGTGGGCAAAGCCCTTTCCACAAGCCAGATCAGTTTGCCAAGGACACCCATATTGCCCACAAGCACAAAAGGGCAGATTCCTGTGACCTTCTGGGCAGGGACTGGGGGAGCCATCAGGATGGCTCTAACAGCTATGAAAACAGTCCCTGTCCCTGAGCTCACAGCTGGTGTCGGATGGTCTGGCTCTGGGCTAGGGAGGACAGGCAGCTGGCCCAGCAGGGCCACACCAAAGGCCCGAGGACACGTGACTCTGCCTGTCACTTTGCAACTCAGGAGCCCTTTTGGTTGACTCTCAGATGGTTTGGGAATTTGTTTTCAAGACGGGATCCCACTACGCAGCCCAGATCAGCCTCAAACTTCACATCTTTCTTCAGTCTCCAGAGTACTGGGTTGCACTCATGCCACGGCCATGGCTTTTCCCTTCCGTTTCCTTCTAAACTAAGTCGTAGCCATTAGCGTTTACCCTCAGTGTCACATGGTTTGTTTTATTAAAACATGCCATGGCCGGGCGGTGGTGGCGCACGCCTTTAATCCCAGCACTCGGGAGGCACAGGCAAGGGATCTCTGTGAGTTCGAGACCAAACCTGGTCTACGGAGCGAGTTCCAGGACAGGCCCCAAAACAATACAGAGAAACCCTGTCTTGGAAAAAAAAAAAAACATGCCACGGATCGATCCATGATTATTACGCAGAATAGTTTCAAAACTGAAAATTCCTGTCACTCTTCCTTCCCCCCTCTCTAGGGGAGCGTCACTTTTCAGATGCAGAAGTGAAGTCAGGGGATTCCCTGGCTCGTCCAAGACTCAGGGGAGACACAGCCTGATCTACATAGCAAATTTCAGGCCAGGCAGGGCTTCACAGTGAGACTCTGTCTCTAAACAAACAAATAAATAAATGCTGTCCTACGACTACGATGTGCCCCGTGTACCCAAGAACTCACTGTAGCTCTGCTTGCCTGCACAAGGTCTGTACAAAGTCAAGCCAGCATTATTAGTGAACAGTTCAGTGGGCAGCATTAATTGGACTCAGTGGGTTATAAAATAAAAACGACCATAATAAAATCAAAATAGTTGAAGTTTAAAAAAAAAAGAGGCCAGGCATTGGTAGCACACGCCTTTAATCCCAACACTTGGGAGGCAGAGGCAGGAGGATCTCTGTGAGTTCAAGACCAGCCTGGTCTACAAGAGCTAGTTCCAGGACAGCCTCCAAAGCCACAGAGAAACCCTGTCTCAGGAAAAAAAAAAAAAAAAAAAGATCTCATGTAAGCCCAAAACAAGGTCCCAAGTTCCTCCTGTCCCTCATCCCAGCGCCTTGGCTCGTGGCGCGTCCTGACACCTCCTCCTTCCTCGGTTGCGTTGCCTGCACGCCATCCCGTGTCTCCCACGCCCTCGGAGCATGGCGGGACTTCCCCTTCACAGCCCTTTGCCTGATCTGTCAGACCCGCACAGCCGCGCACACAGCTAGCTCACCACGAGGCTCCGCTGGACATTCCCCAGCAATGTCTGGACCTCCTGCAGGTACTGCCAGGATGGGTGGCCCTCCAGCAGCACATCCAACACAGACTCGGTGGCGTTGAGACTCACCAAGACCCACAGGTACCGCAGCTCCCGCTGGCTCACACGGGCCTTCTGCTGCAGGGACAGGAGAGATCACTGAAATACAAGCTCCACCTCCGGGCTGCGACCACACCCCACGGACTTGCCACTGCCTGGGAGCAGCCACAGTCAACCAGACAACCTTGGGCCAAGGTCAGCCACAGGCTTGCTTGAGTGGCTAGGAAAAGCCCCTGGTCACTAGGACAACCTGCCAAGGACCCACATGCTTCTGAGGACATCATGGAAGGCAGAGAACTCCCCATCCCAGGAGGGGTCCTCACCAGCCTCGTGATGTTGGCGACTCTGAGTACCCCCTCATAAGGCACAGCGACCCTGTAGTTGATGGGGAAGTAATGTTTCTGGGGAGAAACAAAACGTGAGATCAGAAGCAGAAATGACTTACATAGAACCCCCAAGAGAAGGACCCAGCCTAACTGTGAGGGCAGACAGATCCTCTGTGGAGGAAACAGCCCTCTTTCCTCTGAGACAAAGGGAGGGTGAAATCAGATACACAGTTCTGTAAGGGCTGAAGTTTCTGGCCCAGGGTATGGACTGAGGACTTCCAGGAAGACATGTTACTTTGGAGGTGAGGGGCAAGGCAACCTTTGCATAGCTCTGTGAACACACTAAACACCAGCGAGTCTGATACCTTATTATTTATTGTTATTATTAATAGTGTGTGTGTGTGTGTGTGTGTGTGTGTGTGTGTGGTGTCTGTGTCTGTGTGTGCAGGCATGTACATGCCTTAGCACTGATATGGAGGTCAAAGGATACGTCTCAGGAGTAGTTCTCTCCTCCTGCCTTTATTTGGGTTCTGGGAATCGAACCCTGGTCACCAGACTTGCGTAGCAGGTGCTTTTACTCATGGAGCCATCTCACCAGCCGGTGTTGTACACTGTCAGTCAGTGGGTTGTATATGAATGCCATCTCAACAGAGATGGTCTCAAAGGTAGTCCTAAAGAGCTGGGCATGTGCTTGGAAACCCAGCACTTGGGAAACTGAAGCAGGAAGATCTCAAGTTCAAAGCCAGCCTCTCCAACATAATGAGACCCTGTGTCAAAAAGGCAAAACAATGGCTAGGGAATGAATGGTAGAGTGCTTGTCTAGCATAGACCAGGCCCTGGGTTTGCATAACTGTGTGGCACCCATCTGTGATCCTGGCCCTCAGAAAGTAGAAGCAGGGGGTTAGAAGTTCAAGGCCATCCTCTGCACAAAGTAAATTCAAGGCTGACCTAGGATAGATTAAGTCTTTAAAAAAGAAAGAGAGCCAGGCACTGGGGTGAATGCCTTTAATTCCAGCACTTGGGAGGCAGAGGCAGGCGGATCTCTGTGAGTTCCAGGCCAGCCTGGTCTACAGAGTGAGTTCCAGGACAGCCTCCAAAACAATACAGAGAAACCCTGTCTCGAAAAACAAAAAAAAAAAAAAAAAAAAAAAAGATGAAAGTAGGTGTAGGGGCTGGAGAGATGGCTCAGAGGTTAACAGCACTGCCTGCTCTTCCAGAGGTCCTGAGTTCAATTCCCAGCTATCATGTGGTGGCTCACAACCATCTGTAATGAGATCCGGTGCCCTCTTCTGTCGTGCAGGCAGACATGCAGACAGAACACTGCATACACAATAAATAAATAAATCTTTAAGAAAGAAAGCAGCTGGAAAGGTGAGGGAGGGAGCAGGTGGGAGGTACACACTACACACATTGGTTACGTGGTGGAAGGGGGGGGGTGCTACTATAACCTTGGGCCCGACATATCTTGGGTGGGGGTAAGCAATGCTCCAGGTGAGCCCTGGACTTGGAAATAGGGATCCATTTGGTGCTCTTCTGGTTACCATGTACTGAAGCCGGTTCCTGTACTGCAGCTTGACCCGAAGGTAGCCTGTAAGGTCACACTCTTGGGTCAGAGTCCACATCTCCAAATGCTCGCTCCCCAGAGCCAGGCCAAGTAGGATCCCAAGACCTGCGGGCCACACCCAACAAGAGCTATGAGCACCCGGCACTCAGTGTATTTGCACTCCCTGGTGTGCAGAGCTGCACCCGTTTTCAAGGGCGACAAGGACCCATGAGAAAGGCAGGCCACCCTTCCCCGATCAGCAGAGTCTCAGGGAGACACCCACATCCGGTCTCCGGCCTCCCCTAGCTCCTTCTTTGTGGGGCTAGTACGATGTGCCCGACCCAGCACCCTCAGCCCCTTCCTTGTCAGGAGCGGCAGATTTCCCTTTAGAGTTTTTGGATACGAATTCTAGTTCCAGATCTTAAAGTGGCTTTTGGTGAGCCAGAGACTTCCTTCTATGACATGTGTGACCTTGGCATTCTTCTCCGTTAGACATACCAGCAGGTCTATGGCTCCTTCCAATCTGATGGCTCTGGGACGCTCAACAGACATCACACATCAGCTGTCCCAACAACAAATAATGGGCAGTCTTTTGAAACAGTACCTGTAATTACCACTAGGTGTCAGGGTAGCCTCAAAAACCAACCCTTGGGATCTGCGTGTACACTTGAACAGTAAAATATTATTGAGAGAACTTACAATAAATACGAATAGGGGTCAAGTGGATGAGAGAAACATGAAAAAAAGTGATACCCAAAGGGCCAACTTCACTATTAGGATAAATAGTTTCAAATGAAAACAATTGGATGCAATCTGCAGCCAGAGAAACAGATACACACAAAGCAGGGCTTACCCCTTGACAAGGAAATGGAAAGGTTTTTATAAGATAATTTCATTTTAATAATCCTGATGCTGCCAAAAGAGCTCTCAGCCTGGAAATACATTTGACACATTTAATAATAAAATGGATCTAAACTCTTCTATCTTTGACCCACTGACTGTGACCCACTAAACTCATAAACTAGAAAGCAAACAGATTTATGGACAAAGACCTACGCAGCATCATGATCCTTTTTGCCATTGTTTACTTATGGAGGAGACTGCTCGTGGCGCTGTATATGCTATGGGGAGTACTTAGGATATGCTTAACGACCCTCTTACGGGACTATGAGTCAACAACATCTTTGATGCATAAGACAACTTTAGACTTATTAAGGGATTTCCTGTGCTATGGAAAATGAGGATGCAAATAAATATGCCAAATTTCTGTGGGAGATTATTACACTCATCATTGTTCTAGAACGTGTTTTAATGTTCTCCAGTGTGTATCTTTTTTTTAAACATAGTCTCACTATGCAGCCCAAACTGGCCTGAAGTCACAGAGATCCACCACCTCCTCCTTCCTGGGTGCTGGGATTTCATTTTTGTTTTTCAGACAGGGTTTCTTATATAGCCCTACCTGTCCTGAAACTCACTCTGTAGACCAGACTGGTCTCAAACTCACAGAGATCCTCCTGCCTCTGCCTCCCGAGTGCTGGGATTAAAGGTGTGCGCCACCATGCCCAGTTTACTATCTTGTCGTCAAAACCAATAATTACCCTTTACAGAGCTAGTTCCAGGACAGGCTCCAAAACAATACAGAGAAACCCTGTCTCGAAAAACCAGAAAGAAGAAGAAGAAGAAGAAGAAGAAGAAGAAGAAGAAGAAGAAGAAGAAGAAGAAGAAGAAGAAGAAGAAGAAGAAGAAGAAGTAGAAGAAGAAGAAAAAGTAGAAGAAGAAGAAGAAGAAGAAGAAAAAGTAGAAGAAGAAGAAGAAGAAGAAGAAGAGGAAGAGGAAGAGGAAGAAGAAGAAGAAGAAGAAGAAGAAGAAGAAGAAGAAGAAGAAGAAGAAGAAGAAGAAGAAGAAGAAGAAGAAGAAGAAGAAGAAGAAGAAAGTATGCTGAGCCAAGCGGTGGTGGCGCACGCCTTTAATCCCAGCAGAAGCAGATGGATCTCTCTGAGTTCGAGGCCAGCCTGATCTACAGAGCTAGTGAAATCCTGTCTCAAAAAAACCAAAACAAACAACAAAAGCAGGCTGAGTAAGCCATGGAAAGCAAGCCAGTGAGCAGCTCTCCTCCATGGCCCTGACTTCAGTTCCTGCCCTGACTTCCTTCACAGTGACTTCAGCTGTAAGATGAAATAAAACCTCTCCTCACAAAGTCACTTTATAGTCATGGGGTTTCATCACAGCAATGGAAGGAAAACTAAAGCTGATGGTGGTGACGCACATCTTTTAATCCCAGCGCTAGGGAGGCAGAGGCAGGTGGATCTCTCTGAGTTCGAGGCCAGCCTGGTCTACAGAATAAGCTCCAGGACAGCCAAGGCTGTTACACAGAGAAACATAAAAACTAGAAATGTCATGAAAGATAAAAAATAAGCCGGGCGTTGGTGGCACACGCCTTTAATCCCAGCACTCGGGAGGCAGAGGCAGGCGGATCACTGTGAGTTCGAGACCAGCCTGGTCTACCGAGTGAGTTCCAGGACAGCCTCCAAAGCCACAGGGAAACCCTGTCTCGAAAAACCAAATAAATAAAAAAGAAGAAGGCAAACCAAGACATGGTCTTAGAACAGCTACAGCAGCCAAGCCTGGCATAGCTGCCACATAGCTGTCCCTGAAAAGCCTGTCCATAGGTGACCTACCTTCCCCTACGTGAGACACTCTTGCAGCCAGGCCACTGTTTCTAATTGTAAATGTGTGTTCGGCTGCCTCCACCAGGAGAAACTGGGGACCAGGCAGAGACTGCACAGCCGAAAGCTCAAGACTAACTGTCACTCTCGTGCTTTGTGTCCCAGGAGCCACATAGCCCGTGTCCTACTGACCCTGGCTAGGAGGCTTCCCTGTCACCTCCTCCTTCCAGAGGTAAGAACCAGGAGGCAGAGGCAAGACTAAGGAACAATCAGTGTGAGGCTCTCCCTGGCCCAGACATTGGTGGGAGAAGAGGGCATCCGAAGTATTCTGCAGGGATAAATGAGGCTCGTCACCTCCATCCCCACTGGCCAATGTGAGCCTGTATAATGGGGTGAATAGCATCCCCCTCCCAAGTTCGTATTCACCTGGAATCTCGGAGTGACTATTTGCAAATAGGCTCTCTGCAGGTGTAATTAAAACAAAGGCCCTTGATGTGAGGCCATCCTGAGCATAGGGAGAGCCTAGACCCAGTGACTGGTGTTCCAGGAGGAAGACCGTGCAGAGGGAAAGGCCTTGCAGATGGAGGTGGTGTGCGAATTGGCAACGCTGCCACACACCAAGGAACACAGGGAGCCACAAGACTGTAAGAGGCAGGAAGACCCTCCTATAGAGCCTTCGGAAGCTATGGTGATCAGGGACCCCAGTTTCAGACTTCCAATTCCCAGAACCAGGAGAAAACACATTGCCAGAGCTGAGTCACAAATTCATGATATGTCAGGGAAACCTAACAGCCCCCAGGATCCTCAGCACTCTGCCAAGTTCCGAGATACAATCTGAAGCCCCCTCCTGCCAGCGCTGTGCCTTCCCCTAGATGAGACACACTTGCCTCACTTCTCAGGCGGGGCTAGTGAGATGACTCAGACAATAAAGGCATTGTCATCAAACCCAAAGTCCTGAGTTCAATCCCCAGCACCCACATGGTGGGAGGAGAGAACAGACTCTCCTTCTTCTGCCTTCCAGACACATGCCATGGTACACACACACACAAGAACACAATAAATAAATAAAGGTCATCACTTGGGGCTGGAGAGGTAGCTCAGTGGCTCAGAGCACTTCCTGCTCTTCTATAAGACCCAAGTTCAGTTCCCAGCACCATGTCAGGCAGCTATAATGCCAGCTCCAGGGAGATCTAATACCTCTGGCCTCCAAGGGCATTAGCACTCATGTGTGCATACCCATTAATTAAAAACAATAAAACCGAATCTTTAAGTGCAATCACTTTAACTCAAGAACTGAGCCTCAGTTCTCTAATCTCTCTGCCTGACGTTCAAGGGCTGGGGAGCCCGCCGATGACCTAGCCTGCCTTTGAGTCCTCCAGAAGACCCTCACCCATGCTGCTACCCCTGTTCCTTTAAGATGTGAGAGCTTCCAGAACACTGGGTCTGACGGGGTCCTTCACCCATCCTGAATGTCCCCACCCTTTGTAGTATCTGGGGACAGAACGTGCCCAGCTCCTTTCTGAAGACTTGTGGATTCCAGCCCCTGCCCTCCTTTATGTGGTACTTCAAGTCGCAGTGAGGATGGGGCATGCGTAAGGTCCTTGTCATGACAACGACTCTGCACTAGCCCTTGGCTGCCATTTGGTCTGTAGGGTCTCAGCCTGGCTTCCCACCCAGCAGGCATAGGCATCCCTTCAGGTCCGTTCCTGATTTCTGTCCTCATCTCAACTTATTTTTCTTTTTACCAGGAACATTATTTTCTTTCTGCTTTTTTAAAAAAATTTTTGACCTGAAATGGAGGGAGGGGTAGAGGGGGCTGGTTGGCTTCCTTTTCCAGACCTCCCCTGTCCCATGTGTTATGCCTTCCCTACCCCCCACTAGCCACACCCAGGAGGATGGAAATCCTGTCTCTACAACCTCTGTCCCCACCCTGCACCCCAGAGCCAATGAAACAACAGAGGTGAGAAGCTGCCACCCACCCCAGTGTCTGCCTCACCCTGCATCGGCTGTGCCCACTCAGCTTGCACATCTGAGCCTGAGGTCAGAGGCCGGCAGAGCAGAGAGTGGCCGTGGATCCCAGTCCCCAAGGCTGCCTGCAACCCTCTGGGAAGCATCTCAACTTCTTACCAACAAGAACTGCCCTGGTTGCTATGGCTACAGCAAAGCCACCCACCCACCAAGGCCTCCCAGGACAGGATCCCCAGATATAATCCCCTTCCCCCCAGTACTCACAGTATAACCAGGCAAGTCCCCAGGGCATGATGGTGCACTGGGTGCCCCCTGAGAGCAGAGGCACTGTCCCCAGCAGTGTGTCCAGAGGCCTGAGCTGGGACCTACATGGCCTCGGGTCAGCAAAGGTGGCCACCGAGTCGGGAAGGGCTGGCCCAGCCTGAGGGGGGCAGGTACTCCTGGGATAGCTACCGCCCTATCTGCTTGGCAGGGCGGAGGACATCCAGGGGGCGGTGGCTGCTAGTCCCATTGCAGCTCAGGAGCTGATGTGAGACAGTGGCTTTAGGGTCTCAGAAGGAGGAGGAGGAAGAGAAGAGAGTCCCCAGCAGGCCTCTTGGAATCTGGGGCTGGGTGGCGCTTTCTCTGGTTCCTCCGACTGCAGCTGCTCAGTGTGAAGTCTAGCTCTGGAAAAAGAAGGAGGAGAGAGACTGATTATGTAAGAGCAACGCTGCCACTCAGCCACCAGCCAGGAAAGGAAGACCCACCATGCACGCTGTCCCCGCTGCCAGTACCGAGATACCCAGCCCTGTCTTCACACACAAAAAATGACTCCAGGTCAGGGCACCTCAGTAACTGCCTGGAGCCCAAGAGTGAGTCTACGGGCTGGCAGCCCCGAGCTGGGACTAAAGGAGCAATGGTGCTTACAAACCAGGAGGCTGCCTGGAGGAGGTGAGGCACCAGGTCAGATCTGAGTGACATTGCTTCAGGGGAGACTGAGGAGTGTCTTACCCTGCGTTCACCGTCACTCTCTGTCACCCATCTGTGTCTCCTGCCAGGTAAAAATTGATGGGTCAGTTTAATTTGAATTGCAGATAAATGAACAGTTTTTCTGGTAAAGTATTTGATGTGTAATATTGTAGGTACCAAATATTGCATGTGGCAATAAATAAATATACCAATAAATAAATAAACACCGTAGCCAGCTGTGGTAACACAACAGGGAAGTCACGGTACTCTAGAGGCTGAAGCACGAGGATGAAGAGACCGATCGGGCCACATAGCAAGACTCTAAAAAGCAAACAAAAGACAGGGTGGGGTGGCCCACATCTTTAATCCCGGCAGAGGTAGGTGGATCTCTGAGTTCAAAGCCAGCCTGGTCTACAGAGCGAATTCCAGGACAGTCAGGGCTACACAGAAAAACCCTGTCTCAGAAAAACAAAACAAAACAACAAGTATGTGAGAGGAATTCAAGCCTGGCCTGCTGGTGATTAGCCCTGAAAGTCAACATCCCCATAGAGCCTGCCCACTCCCTCACTCTCACAGGGCCAGCAAATTGTGGGCTGTGGTTCCATTTTGCAGATGAGGTAGAGGTGGCCGTCGGCAAAGACAGCTCAGAAACTGGATTTCTCATAGGGCTCTATTCCATCCCTTCCTGATTTTCCCTTCCTGTATCTCCTTAGTGGCCTCAACTCAGGGCATGGGGTGGAGGGGGGGAGGGGGAGGGGGAAGCAGGGGTGTTGGAGGAGACCCTCTCCATCGTGATGTCTGTGACATTACTACAGAATGTACCAAATTGCTAGCCCTTGGGCTGGGGGTGGCTTTAGTGGAAGAGAGCTTGTGGGGTTTGCAGGAGGCTCCGAGGCCAAGCCTAGCAGAGACGCAGCTAGGAGGTAGGAAGCCCAAAGCCAGTCTGGGCTGCCCAAGGAATTTTTGGCTAGGGCTAGCCTGGGCAACATAAGCATGGGCTACATAGTAAGACCTTGTCTAAAACAGCACAGCAGACAGGCCAGCCCTCCTCCTCAGAGCCCCTGAAACAGACACGGTCACATACAAGGAAGCGCATTGCTCAGATTTACCCACCCTGGTGACCTTCCTATTATGGGGCCACTGGAAGCACTACACTAGCTATGCCCCCGGGACATAGTCTCATATTAGCAGCCAAGGGTGACCTTGAACAGCTGATCTTCTGCTCTCTACTGCTCTCTACCCCCTGAGAGCTGGACTTACCGGCGAGCATCCCCACACTCCATTTATACAGTGATGAGTTCAAACCCAGGCCTTCATGCATTCTAGACAAGCACTCTACCAGCTGAGGTACATCCCCAGCCCCAACTATATCACTTAATTGTTATTTGCATTATTATGCAAATTATGTTATTATATACATATAAATATTAACATATAACATATAAATATATAAATAAATATATCTACATGTATGTATAGTTTTTGCAGTATATAACTAAAAATTTTTGGCAAATTCAGAGCTATGTAACCACTACAATAATCACTTATAAAACACTTCCTTCAGCGGGCCAGGGCACACTTTTAATCCCAGCACTCGGGAGGCAGAGGCAGGTGGATCTCTGTGAGTTCAAGGTCAACCTGGTCTACAGACTGAGTTCCAGGACAGGCTCCAAAGTTACAGAGAAACCCTGCCTGGAAAAAAACAAAAACAAAACGAAACGAAAAACCTACTTTTTTTTTTTTTTTGGTTTTTTTTCGAGACAGGGTTTCTCTGTGGCTTTGGAGGCTGTCCTGGAACTCACTTGGTAGTCCAGGCTGGTCTCGAATTCACAGAGATCCGCCTGCCTCTGCCTCCCGAGTGCTGGGATTAAAGGCGTGCGCCACCAACGCCCGGCTAAAAACTTACTTTCTTAACCCAAAACACCATCCCCCCCTCTTCCCACAGCAGCATGACAGCAGACCACCTGTTTCCTCTCCAGCACGTTTATTTCTCCCCAGGTGCCCCATAAATGCCATCTTGGGGTGCAGATTTTGCATTTCACTTCTTTCACTTGCCATGGTGAATTTGGGGTGTTGTCATGTTGATGAGTGTGTTAATAGTTTCCTCTTTTTCCTTGCCCAGTAACAGTCCCTTGTGTAGACAAATCATTGTGTCTACACACCAATACAGAAGCATTTGAATTGATCCAGTCTTTGACGATAATGAATATATAATGATGATAGTGCTAAAGTCCTCAGTGGACAGGCTTTGGCGTGGATGGAAGCTTCCACCTCTCTTGAGTCCTGCTGCAATGTCCCACTGTCCTTTAGACCATTGGGACTCCTCATGCCAGCCAGAGAACCTGCACTACCTATCACCACCGTTACTCATCCTTGAATTCTCCCATGCACAGAACTTGGGGGAGCAGTTCCTACAGCCCAGATTTCCTCACATGGGCACACACATCAAAGGGTTCTTCAGGTTGTCCAAATTGAAGAAATTCTGTTGCACCCTCTTTGTGCGTGTGTGCATGCGTGTGTGCGTGTGTGTGCGTGTGTGTGTGTGTGTGTGTGTGTGTTGGACACACATGTGTGTGTGCAGGTGCATGCCCAAATGCATGGACAGAGGTCAGAGGAGGGTGTCAGGCATCTTACTCAATCACACTCCACCTTATTTCTTTGAGACAGGATCTCTCTCTGGACCCGGAGCTAGGCTGGCAGCAGGACACCCCAGCTATGGCCTGTCTACCTCCTCCACAGCGCTGGGGTTATAGGTGCATGTATAGCTAAGCCTGTTGTGTTTGTTTGTTTGTTTTTGCTTGGGTACCAGGAATTAAAACTCGGGCCCTCACCTGCTGAGCCATGTCCCCAGCCCTGTTGCAGCTTCTTCATTCAGAAAGGACTGCAGCATTGAGGCCCACCATGCATCTTGGTTTGTGTGTTCCCAATGGAGAAGTCAAGTGGGAAAGAGAGGCCCAACCAATCGCATGTCACACATGAGTCGTGTCTGTGGTTCCAGTATGAGCCCCACTGAAAAGGGAGCAGCAGGAGAAAGACCCCAAGGAAGCTGCCACGGAGGATGGTGTCTGATAGCAGGCTTTGGATCTGGGCTATGGGCACAAGGGACATCGCGATACTGCTGTGGTGGCCTGAGTTAGATGCCCCCCCATAGTCTCAGATTTTTGGATATAGGGCCCCAGGTGGTAGTGTTGTTTGCGGAGGCTTAAGTGTGCTTTATCGGAGGAAGGGGGTCACTGGAGGCTGGCTTTAAGAGTTTAAATATTCAGAAGGTGGTGGCACACACCTTTAATCCCAGCACTCGCACTCGGGAGGCCAAGGCAGGCAGATCTCTGTGAGCTCAAGGCCAGCCTGGTCCACAAAGCTAAAAAAAAAAAAAAAAAGGTTATTCACCATTTGGCTGGGCGGTGGTGGTGCAGGCCTTTAATCCTAGCACTTGGGAGGTAGAGGCAAGCTGATCTCTGTGAGTTCGAGGCCAAACTGGTCTACAGAGTGAGTTCCAGGACTGACTCCAAAGCAATACAGAGAAACCCTGTCTGGAAAAACCAAAAAGATTCACTCTCTAGGCTTCCTGCTTAGGGTCCTAGCCACCCCACCTGCTACCTCCACTCCACCTTCATGGACTCTTAACTTTCTGGAACCGTAAGTTCAAATAAACTCTTCCTTCCATAAGTTGCCTTGGTCATGGTGCTTTATCCTCCCTACAGAACGTACTGATAAAATGGCCGAAGTAAGTCCTGCTTGGAGCCTACGGGCCCTGCCCTCTTTGACAATGATACCCAACCCTGACCTGCCATCTTTCTGCGCTCAAGACTGTGACTTGCTCGGATTCCAGGAGGGTGGGACCTGCCTGGATTTCTGCCTCTACCTCTGGGTCCCTGTCTCAGGGTGAGGACGGAGGGATGAAGGTGGATGGAGTTTGCGCCTTTCCCAGTTCACCCCACCCCACCCCCGGGGATTCTAGGCATTATTAGGAAATTCATAGAGGGAAAGAACAAAAAAATAAAAGAGGGTGGAGTGGTCAGCATAGTTCCCCGATGAAAAGCAGTTTCAAAGTCACAGAGACAAACAAAAGCAAATATCAATCTCACTAAATCATGACTCCAGGGTCCTGGGTTGGGGGCAGGGTCAGAGAGAGGGCAGGTGTGGGGGGAGGAGAGGGGGTGGATGAGCTAAATCTTCCATGGAGGGAAGCAAGGACTTGCTTGTGTGATTTGGGAGAGATTAGATATGGTTGGGCGTGTTTGTTTTTGTGGTATTGGAGTTGGAGCGCAGGGCAGACAGCATGTTAGAGGTGAGCGGGGTAGCTCTTGCCTTTTCTAATGTGCTACATCCCAGTCCTTGACAGATAGCTACTTCATGTTTTTGTTTTTGCTTTGAGACAATGTCTCATTGTGTGGCCCCAACTGGCATGGAACTAACCATGTAGAACAGGCTGGTGTCCAGCTCATACAGATTCACCTGTCTCTGCCTCCCCAGGGCTGGGATTAAAGGTGTTCGCTACCATGTTTGGTTGTTAGCTGTTTCATTCGTTTGTTTAAATTCCTATACGTACGTAGAAAGCAGAAAGTGGGGAGGAGGGACAGGCGAAGGCCCGGTGTTGTTAGCAATACCACATTGAACTATTTCAGTCTTTAACTCTGCAGATAGAACTTGGTTTTTTTTTTTTGTTGTTTTTGTTTTTTTTTTGAGACAAGGTCTTATGTATGCATCGCAGATCAGCTTCAGTATGTCGCCCCAAAGATGACTTTGAACTTCCATTCCTCCTGGTTCAGCCTCCTGTGCTGGGATAATTGGTGGTGTTACCACTTCCGTTTTTCGTCTTACCAGGGATCAAATCGAGAGAGTGGGACAAAAGTGTTTCACCAATTGGGCTACCTCACAGCCTACAGTGTGGGCTACCTCACAGCCTACAGTTTAGCCTACCTCACAGCCTGCAGTGTGGACTACCTCACAGTTTGGGCTACCTTACAGCCTGCAGTGTGGACTACCTCACAGCCTACAGTTTAGCCTACCTCACAGCCTGCAGTGTGGACTACCTCACCGTTTGGGCTACCTCACAGCCTACAGTGTGGACTACCTCAC